ATGTTGGGAAAAAAAATGAAATACCTTGATGAATGCTGTAAGAACTCTGCATTTTGATAGAAAACTCTGTTTAAAATGTTGATTTAGATTTACTTGCTAAGCTTGCCTGTTCTGCCTGATTTGTATCTACCACACATGGATGATTAACCTAGTTGAAATGCTAAGAATTGAAGTGCTGTAAACCTCCTTCCTGGACCCTGGACCCCAGACTCAGTTGCTTTACAATGTGTCCTGTAGGCCTGTTTGCACATACCAGATAACCGATAAGGAACAAAGAGAAGGAAGTTGCACCAGGCTTACACCAGATCTAGCCTTCCTGGAAAAGATGTTTAACCGAAACTATAGCTTTTAGAAGATGTTTGATCAAAGTGTCTGCTGAGGAATGCTTTTTGTGTAATGACTATGTGGGCCTATATAATCTGTATCTGAAACTGAATGGGGGTCGATCGTTCTGACCAGACTTGCATGTCTTGGGAAACCGGTCGACCCCAGCCGGCTGGAAAGTAAAGACTCTGCTTGATTTTTACATCTCCAATCCCGTGTATTTGTTATCTGGAGGGGACCCATCGAGTCACGGACCCTAACAGTCTTTATGTAAGAAGAACATCAGCACAAAAGAGGCCATCTGAAGATAAACTTAGAGTGGACTGATGCTGCTCTCAGTCAGGTAATTCCATGGTTGCCAGGAGACAGCAAACGCTTAGAGGCAGACAAACAACACGGACCATTCCACAAAACCTTCAGAGGGATCATCTCCACACTGACCTTTTCATTTCAGACCTGTTGCCTCCAGAACATTGCAGGAGCCAGTTTCTGGCACGTTAACTGGTCCTTGGTATTTTCCTCAGTAGCTCTAGGGCTTTATATGAATAGTTTACAATAAGCTAAACTCTGGGTAGAAACTGAGCCAGAATAATGGACCAATCAAAAGTCCATGAAAATCTTCTCAAGAGAGGAAAGCCACTAGGAATAAAATAAAAAAGTTGTGAAGAAGTTTTAAAATAGCCTGAGCATGCCCTGAGATCAGTATGTATGGGAGGCAACCTCTTAACACCTATCCATCTAGTGGCCTTGTGAGAATCCATCAGGGATGTCAACTTGAAGAACTCCATCACATTATGAAATACCTCGCCCTCTCTGCTGCACTGTGTTCACTGAGGCAAGAAGATGGAATGATTACCTTAGAGAAATTTACAGCCACAGATTTACAGAGCTGAACTGGAAAGGTTTTATTTCTTTAAAATTGCTGGAGTTTTCTCTGTAATAGTGGTCAGTGGCATCATTATTTTGGTTGTTTGCTTCATTGATAAATTCCTTTAAGAAACAAGCCTACTTCCTAAACAGTGAATATCTACTCAGAACAGAGCTTATCACTTAAAGATGGTCGGAAACATCATGATGGTCATTTTTACCAGGGACTTCTATACATCTAGACAATAACAAAGTAAAAATCAACTGTAATTTTGAAATCTACAGATAGTATCCAATTATGTTGAATTTACTCACTTTTTTGGCAGTGAGTAAAGATTTAAATGTGGCCATTATGTATGTTCAAATGTACCGTCTTTTCTGTATGTTTTTGTGGAAAACATGGATTATGACATGCTATGGCAATAAGATTCTGATTTCAACAAGTCTGCATCTTGTTGATAAAATAGACAAAAAAAAGTTAGAATCACAAAGCTAGAGACGATGTCAGATTTGGACATAGGTTCTATAATACACATGTATATGCACTAGCACAAGCCCACAGACATGAGCAAATACACGGTTATGTCAGTTTTTCCATACTTAATCCACATGGAATTTCCATATACCCATATTTAACCCGTATTTCCAATGAAGCACTAGAGAACATAAATAAAAATCAGACAAACTCCCTTCTGTTTCCAACCCTCTTGAAGGAGACCCTGCTTCACAGCATTTCCCCACAATTAGGCTTTAAGTGCAGGTCAACTTGGCATTAAAATTCACCAAACTCATGGCAAATTTACATTGTATTGCTGTGTATTCTTTGATTTACACAGTTTTCCTGAGACATAAATCTTACCTCATTCTGTAAGTCTCGGATCATTTTACTCTTCCTTTCAACTTCAGTCTTCAAAAAATTAATCTGAAAATAAATAGAATGTTAATTATATACATGCATTCCTATGGCTTTTATCTTATATTATTTTGAGGTGCACTGAAACTATTATAGTCTTATGTCAAACATGGAAAAAAAGCAAAGATTGAAGTTTTCATTAACTAAAGCCTTCATTATTTAACATATATATATATATAGTTTAACATATATGTATCATGAAAATATTCTTCCCTATGTAAGTACATGTTTTATTACATTGAGAAGTTATGCTTATTATGATTTTAATTCTAGTTAGGTAATTGAGCTCCATTATTAAACAGGTGGCTCCTCAGAATATAAATTATAGAGTTTGGTCCTAAAATTTCTATTTCTATGAATCTGTACATATAAATTTGACCTGTGTTCACACTTGAGGGCAACTGCACAGTGATACCCTAACTCACCATATATGTGTGGAATGTTCTGCAATGTTCCAAATAAATTACAATATTTTCTCTTGATTGTAATAGTTTCAATATTTGTGACGTTAGGCCAGTATGTCAACTACATTTACATAGACACTATATTTCTACTTGCCCTGTGTTGTCAGAGAAATAGGCAGTGTATACAGTGATTAGGATTTGTGAAGAATTTGTAATCTTTATTTTCAATTAAAGTTAAACATAACAAAAAGAGTAACAGTGGATGGATGATACTTCTAAGACCATGGATTTTTTATTTTTTTAGTAGTGAAATATTAGAAAAGAATACAAAAGTGAAATTAATTTTCTCAATACATTTAATTCAATTTATTTAATATATTATCATATACCCATGCAGTAAAGTTTTCCATTTTTTTTTTATTCTTGACAGTTCCACATATCTGTACATTGAATTTTAGTCAGCTTCACCCTATTCCCTTTTTTATCCCTCCTCTCCCACTGAAATTTTCAACCATCCACCCTCCCACATTCACATGTTTGTTTAAATGATATACTGAGTTTAAGTAGGGTTTTTTGCATGAGTGAGTATGGTTGAGGAGTGGTCATTTATTGGAGCATGGGGAAAGTTTCTGTGGTTACCCCAGAAAAGAAAATTATACCCTTCCAGCAACAACCACTAGCAGCTCATCGTCTTTGAGGGAGGGGTATGGTCACATGACCCAACATTTATGATAAAAATATTGATGAGCTAATCTTCTGCAGGTTTTGTGCAGATAATAACAGCTGCAGTGAGTTCGTGGTGCTACAACCATGTCATGTCAGAATATTCTACTGGGGATCCAAGACAGGACTCCATGCACAATAACAAACACCCTACCATTGAACTCTAACTTCAGCCTCAGGAACTTATTAATGATAAATCTGTCTTTAGATGTGGGTTTCACACTCATCTAAATTTGGACTAACCATAATTTTGGCTCAGTTTTTCATGTACTGATTACCAGTGACTAAGGAGCTTCCTGGTACAAACAAAGGGCCTCCCCATGTGAGCTGTCCTGGAGGCAGAATGAGTCAGTGGACTAGAAATTAACTATCCCACCCATGCTGTTTTTTATCAAGTATACGGCTTTAAAAAAGTTTATTCCTCGAACATTTCAAACATAAAAGAAAAATCAGAGGAAAGACATAAAATGCCACATGTGTCCCACATGTTACCATTAACCCTTCACCCACTCTCCATTTTACTTTTCTAAACTAATGAGGCTCCTGAAGTTGCTGCTTCTTAGTACTGTGATTACTTTATTCAATTTAATTTATTGTATATTATTATAAAAATGTTAATTATGTCAAAGCTAGTATAAAACTTGAAAAACAATTTTATATTTGTGAGATATATGCATGCTGATTTTATAAAACACCAATTAATTTATATTAGCTGATAAATTCATTCTGGAAGTTATCAGTTGAGGTTACTGATTATAAAATTAAGCAAGGTGAAAAAGATTACTATAACTTATTGATCACCAAAAAGAGTGGATTAAATAATATGGGTATTTGTTTTTGTATTAGATAAAAGTATCAAAGGTCTGCCTTTCTTTTGGGTCCCCATGAGGTGTGTGTGGCACAAGGCCAGCACTCAGCTTTACCATCCACCCCATCATTTCATGATCGTTTCTATTATCAGCATTTCTCATGTGGTATGTATATAAAGAATAAGAATTATCCAAAGTTCTGACTCCAAAGTATACTGGTTTCTATTATCTTTCATAGTGTTTCAACTCACATACCCACAGACAACCAGCTGCTCTGCAGCTCAAGAAGATGGAAGACCTTTGAGACTAACATTTAGGCTGTGGTAAGTCAAGTATGCTCAGATGATTAGTAAGCATAGAAAGACAACCCTGGAGAGAGAGGGAGAGGGAGAGGGGGAGGGGGAGGGGAAGGGAGAGAAGCAAAGAGAGAGGAACAGACAGAGGCAGCAAGACAGAGAGACAGAGAAGTCAGCACATGGAGATAGCTGAGTCATGAATGTAGAGAGCTGCAAGAATGATTACGAATGGAATCCTCTCTCTGCATCTTCAAAAGCTGAAATAGCTACTCTATCTCTCACAGCGTCATGGCACCTGAGTCCTAAGCTTGATTTTTCATAAAGTTCCACTGGAGCTTTTCGGCACCTATTGGTAACCTGAATGTTGGTTAAGGAATGCATTAACGTCCATCCATCTGATTCTGAAAACTCGAGCCAAACCATTTTGATGGTGACAGTACATATAAAATAGGAGATTTAGAAGCACTGAGTAGCTTGGGAGCTGGTGCAGCAGTTAAAGGATTAGGTTCACAAACAAATGACAAGAAGCAGTATGTCTGTTGTTTAGGTCGTATTAATTCTCATGTTGAATTTGAACAACTAGTCCTTTTTCCTTAACACCAGAAAATTGTAGATTGCAGTTTTAAGTCGTGAACTGGTTGAAGCAATCTTAGTTTTGTACATAATCATCTCTTTATTGAGACTGTTCTCCCCAAACCTCCACATACTGGTACTATTAAGTCTTTTTGCTATAATTAAAATTCACATCTATTAGTAATATACTGATAGACTGCAGCATCTGAACTATGATTCTCTAAATGTTAAAACAGACACAAAATATTGAGACTATGGAGCTCAAATACATTCATAAAATTTAAAAATATATCGTTTCCAGACCATTACTTTAAAATCTCAGCAGATTTGAACTTCCCTGGAGAAAAACAAAAACAAAAAGAACTTCCTGATATTTATTTAAATAAAGACTCTAAGCGCCAAAAATACCTTGAATTTACTGTGAGTAAATAATGGATGAACACTAATTCTTTATATTTGATGAGAGTAAAAGCTTCACGACAAGTCACTGCAGAGCAATTATTCCTTACCCAGGACAAGTTAAAACATAAAAACTAACAGACGTCATGAAATACTAATGGCTATTAGTATTTGATTGGTCTGTTCACACCTGAGAGCTTTCTTTCTGTGCTGTCTTCTAGGATTTGGAAGGAAGGGCACAGCTCCAGATGATTTCCCACCTCAATAGGCACTTACGGGTAAAATCAAATATTCATGCTTTCATGAGAAGCATGTTGGAACAAGATAGACCTGCTTCTTGAATAATGTACTTTTTCAGAAATATGTATTCTTTCACTATTTATAAACTTATAAGCAAATTTGCTACTATGACTCATGGCATTTTACTTTGACTTTGCAACTTTGGCAGTTATTTTAACACCTTTTGGAAAAAGTGAATAGTTTTTCATTTGGATAAAAATATAACAATTTAAAAGTATATCTGCCTTCTCAAATCAAACTGCCCATTAGAATGAGAGCAACACAACTGCCTTCATCTCCATTTCTTATTCATACTTTAGTTACAGCTAGAGTTTTAAGAAGGAACACAAATTATGATTTTTCAGCAGTAGCAATGTCCAAAATATATACTTACATAGATTTTATTTAGCCCAGAATATCTATGTAGAACAAAATTCTCAAACTGTTCTGTTTAAGGCCTTATCAAATTGTATAATACAATGTTGCATGTTTCCTTTATTGATTTGAATACAGTGAGCCGCCTTTGCATTGCTTGTTAAGTCTAAGTTAGCCATTGTAATAATCGTGTTATAATAAATTTCATTGTATTTTGTTTAGGATAACTACAACATTTTTCATCAAGACTATAGCTTGTCATTTGTTTCCCTGTGTCCTATCTGGTTTTTGTATAAGTATAACTCTGATCTTATAGAATGAATTTGAAGAATTCCTCTGTGTTTATTTATTTTTGGAATCCACTTGGTTCTTGAGGGCAATCAACAGCTACCTAATTGGACTAAAAGCCCACTCAATGGGAGGAATTTCATGTGTGGTACTATAAACATAGCCAACTATACTTGGCTGGAGATGGCATAGATCTTAGAGAAAACCCCAAGACTGCTATATCCCTAGACTAATATAATTTCTTGCTATGTGCAAAAGATGTATCCTTATATTTACAGACAAACCTCCAGTCACCACTCATCAATGAAGCTTATTTTGTACTAGATGGAGACTATTCTGGTTATACATAGACATTGTCTGTGAATTGCCCGAGTCTAAGTGACACATCTGCAATGCAACCTCTACACCTGAGGCTCATGGAACAGAGAGCAAGGGGTAGAGAAGACAACAATGAATCTCTCAGTTCTCATCAATGAAGCTCCCTCATGCAACAGAGGGCCAGGAACATGAAAGGTCACAAACGGCCAAAGTGTAGAGACTAAGAGTCTACAGAATGCTGTCCTTGGAAATGACTCCTATATTAAATTTCACCCACTTACGGTTTAGGGACCATAGCTTCTTTGTATTTCTTATCAAATATATCTTATCAATATATTGTATATCTTATCAATATAAATGTTATCAAGAAATATGTGTCATCTATTTCAATATTAAGGAATTATTTGACCAATACAAATGAATGATGGTATACAATTTGATTAGTAATTCAAAAATTCAATATAGTATTAATATATAATTCAGTGTAAATTATATTATATAATAATTCAATAATATTATTATTGGATTTATAGAATACCATATGT